TGTCGGCTGTTCTCGGCGCGGGTGGGCGGCCGGCCGCCGCCGGAGCGGGGCCGCCCGGTTGCCCTGGGGTGTGCGATTGCCTGTTGGCGGTAATAAAGTGTGGGACGCTTCCTACGTGTAAAAAGGCTGGGGGTGCGCTCCCGTACGCCTTTGGGGAGGGCCGCCGGGCCCCCGTGGGAACGGCAGAAACCGGCCTTCAGCGCCCCAGCTGTTCCTCGGCCCAGTCCCTGCGGCTCCGAAATACGCCCGCCTCGGGGCTTGACCGGAGGGGGAACAAGGACCGGAGCCCTCACAGCGCTGCGTGCTGAGCCGGTCCTCCGTGCCCCTGGCCTGCCTTTTCTGCAGGGCTTGCCGTCAGCTGGAAGGGGGATCTAGCTGCTTTAATTAATTTGTAAAGCGAGACGTACACGCTGAAGCAGTAGCCGTGTGGCTCCACCGACACGTACAGATTCCTGCAGGAATTTGCAAGCATGCGCAGGCATAATCTTTGTCCAGGTGTGTATGCGTATGTGGAACTATAATTTTACATAGCTACAATAATGCATGAAGTGTAGAATATTAATATTTCGCTGCCTGTCACGATTCTTGTTTTCACTCACTCTGATACTTTAGCTTTTTATTTCAGTAAGAAGTGTGGAGCAACAGATCAGCACTCTTTTCATCGCTGTCAGCATCCGCTCTTTGTTGCGGAGATTGTGATGATTTAGCCGTTGGACTAATCTCAGACGAGATGTGCGTTTGCTACACAGAGTGAGATATTACATTTTATGATTAGGAAACAGTAGAGTTTCTTCATCATTGTCCTTAAATTATCTGCCGGGGAGCAAGGCCCTCCTCTTGGCCTACAAGCGGGGATCAATGAACTCTAGAACTTTTTGGAGTGGTTTGACACCATTGCTTTATGGGGTGACTTGTCAAGCGTATGAAACATGACAGCTGCGCGCTTGTACCTCAAGTGCACAAACACAATAGATCAAACACGCTGCAACTCTGCATCTGTCTGCCGTGGTTCCTCTGGCTGGTTTTTTTCCTCTTGTTCATTCTGAACAAGTTGGACTTTTTGTGTCCCTACCAGCCTTGGAAGCTGAACGTTTCTTTCTCGTTTTTAACAAAATCTTGTGCCGGTCATGGATTCCAGTGGTTATTGCATAATTTACAAGTAAAAGATACACTTTCTAGCTACCACTTGCCATCTTTGGATCTGAAGTGAATCGTTCTGATTCATGTCTCGCAGTTCTACAGACTATCTTTTGTTTTTCTTCACATCAGCGCAACATATAATATAGCAGTTGTTCTAAGCAGAGGCTATTAAAAACAGTGTTACCATGGTAAGGTCTTCCACCCAAATGAGTAACCTCACAAAAAATATCTCGCTGCTTAATCATTGTTGACATTTGGAAACAACAAGTTTTTAATTAGTAGTTGTGTTGGTGATGCATGAATTTCAAAAATTCATTTTGCTTTCCACTTAATTAGCTACATAAGACTAATAAGTAGGGACAATAGAGACGCAAGTCTCTAAATTACAGAAGAAAGAGGAAGAAAGCACCACAGTCCTTTTTCAGAAAATAAACTGCTACGTTAAAACAAGACAGTAACTTCTATAGGCAATTTAAATACTAATTTTATCTGTGGTCATCTTTCCCCTCTTGTGCCTTCTTCAGTGAAAATGATGTCATTGGTGTAGAATGTATCCCAGGTTGACGCAGGGGGTGTAGCTAGCAATTGTTTTATTTAAGGATTTTTTTTTCCCAAGGCTTTTTCATGTCTTCCCTTTGCTCTTATTTTTCCTACCATAAGAAGTGTTAAAGAACTGCTTTTTATTAGGCATTTTATTCAGAGAAACAATCCTGGAATCTCAACAGCAGAGAGCGATATAAAAAACCTCAACTTATTTTCTCCTTTTCATGTTATTTCTTCTGTATGTACATACTTGCTCTTCTTATATAGAATTCTTCTGTAAGGCTATTTGGTGAAATTCGTGAGAAATTGACCTAAAACCAGTGAAGTCGGAAGGGTCTTTTTTTGCTAGGCAGGTCATTTAAAAACAAGAGGAAAAATAAGAGCGATGCATACAGGGAAATACCTGTTCTTTGGACTAGAAAACTGAGAATCTGACAGTTCCTTGGACGCAAAGCAAAGATCCTGACTGTCAAGGAGTCTAAAAAGCTAAGCAGTGAGTTTGCCTCAAAAACTCCTAGAACAAGTGCTGGAAGTCTTCTTACTCATTGGGAATTCTGCTTGAATAAGGAATATAGCTTTCAAGTAGTATCCGCAGCAGATTGCAAGGCTTGAGGGAAGAGTCAGAGTTTGGTGAGACTGGTTAAAATAATTACTTAAAGATTGAAGCGACAGTCTGCAACCTAGTTGCCATAAAGTTTTACAGATTTTTTTTTTCCCGTTGTGAAAATCGAGTAGAGCCCATGAAGATCCCATTTGCAGTATAACACTGCTAACTGTGCCTTTTCTCAGTAGGACATAGGTCTGTTTGTGTTTTTTCATCGTGGCAACTCCCTGCTCCCTTGATACAGCCAATGTTCTGGACCGGGGAGACTTCAGTCCAAGAACTGTAAGAGTCATGGAACAAGCAGGTTGCTCTCTACTCATCCAACTGCGCTGCATGCTTGGTGATCGATTCCCATCTGCCAGGCGCCTTGAGAATTCTCCGTCTCAGCATCAGACACGCACGTGAAAGTTAATGTGAAAAAGCAGTAACTCCCCCAAAGTTTAGCACATCATGGTCACGTTAGCTAAATAATGTGAGGCAGGCGAAGTACAGGACTTCTGCGAGGAAGGCAATGGCTAGTGCTGGATCCTGTTCTCCAGTTTGTAAAATTAATAATACTGCAAGTGAACGTGTAACCTGTTTGTCTGGGAGGAAGCAGTGCACTTGCCCTGAAAAGTCATTCGGCAGAAAGTGATGCAAGTGCAGTAATTGCAAGGGCTGTCTCTGGTACCTCTGCTACTGATGCAGGAGGTTAGCTTTGAACGTCTTCACCGAAGGAGAAATAAACCACGCTCGTCCTAAATAATTGATCACTGTTGTCCAAAAGAAAACTCTGAAACTCCTAAATAGGAAAAAATAGGTTTTTTATAAAATGGTATAGTATTTTTTCCATTTACTGCTTGTGAGACAATGTTCTGAAGAAAAACCTGCTGCTCTCCTTTTTAAACGTGAACATTCTCTGCGGAATCTTACTAGTGCATCTGATGCATGTCTGCTTTGGAAGTTACACTGGTGAGTACTAAATTGAATTGAGGAAAGCTCGCTCTCTCTGTGTTTCAGTTTCTTTTGTCTCCAGTAGGAAAGGCTGCAGTTGGAATATAAACAAAAGTATTTTTTTCCCTGCAATGACATGTAGGCAGCTTTGGCTATCTGATGGTCATTCACTTTCTGACATTCTACTTTTAAGTGAAGTAACTTTAACTGTTAGAGAGTCTTTCCATGCAGCTGCAATACACCTTATATTCATGACTTCTCAACTGGCATTTTGAATAATTTATTTTTCTTCTAATGATGAATTCTAAAAGTAGACCTATGAACAAGAGTGACTGTACTGTTGTTTTCTTAAATGAGGTCATTTTGCCTTGCTTAGGCTTAAGAGTGCAGCTCCACAAACGGTTGTAGCAGCACAACTGAGGGCTAAACTAGCAAAATGGTTGGAGGAGTTGGGTGAGGAAAAGTGCAGGAACCTCTTAGTCAGGCTTTGCTACTGGAAGAATTGTAATGTGGAACCATTTATCATGTTAAACCTCAGTCATGTATTAAATGTATCTACATATTCTTCTTAGTTTCTGCATGATAATTTCGTAAGAGAAGTGATTTGAAAAACAAGATATGCTGTATATGTAAACTTGATTTTCTGCAGAAAACGAATATTTCTTTTTATGTGCTTCCAGTGTTTTTAGAAACGTAAAGAGCAGTGATACTACATTCTTTGATTAGAGAAAAACCTGAAGAATTCTGGCTGGGTTTCTAATGATTCTTCTTTAATATTAGAAATACAAGCTGTGTCTGGAAGACTCTAGAACAGTAACAACATCGTAAGCGTTGCAAAAAGTTCTGCTGTTGGGAAGGAAAGGGATTTTTAATAAAATCAGTGGACTAGACCATTGGGGATCAACTGGGGACAAGCTGAAGCAGGCGGCTGATAAATATATAAGTTACTTGCTGATCTCGCTT